TTCCTGCTTGTAAGCATGTTACTAAACTTAGCCCTTCTCACGTTTCGGAGCTGGCTGGAGGGAAAATCAAAGGGAGGGATATAGAGAGGAAAGCATGCCTGACTAAAGATGAAAGGCAGTGGGTAAGCGGTAAAGAGAGGAGGATAAAGAAGATGCTACAATGTTAAGTGAAAAAGGAGCCAAAGAAAATTAAAACAGGGAGAAAAAGAATGGAGAGAGAACATACCATTACAAAACCATATCATCTTATAGCCTGCTTCTTATCCCATCCTACCCCCTTTTATGAGACAAATTTCAACAGATTAATAACTAGTAGGTTACGAAAAGGCTATTTCCTCACTCAGGAACGAAGAGTTACAAGTTGCACTTATAAAAATGCAATGTAGACCTTTGAGTCAATATATAAATGCTTAAAGTTCCAACGTGCAAAATCTTCTACTCTTAAGAGTAAAAGCTAGAAAGAATGGAGTACGAACAGATTTACAATGCATAGAAGAATCAAAGTATACAGACTGGCTACAAAAGAACTAAAGGACAGGTGAGATGCAGTAATCTACATATATTTGACAGAATTAAATTATTTCAGGCTAGCAGAATGGGATATCAGAAAAATATTTTTTAAGGGTGAAATCTGTTCAACCTCCCAAGGAAAGCAATGGAAGCCCCATCACTTAAGGCACATAAAGATTAGACTACACAAAGCACCAGCAAATGTACATTAGGGAATAAACCTGCTCTGGGAGGGAGACTGAGAGACCTATTAGGTCAACTAGTTAATCTCTAACATGCATGCCTGATGATTTATGATTAACTTAGCTTCAGAGAAAATCTCAGTAATTATTTGTATTACAAATAAATCTGGCTACATTTCTTTGTTTCTGCATTTAGAATTAGAATGTAGGGGGAGGAACAGAGCACAGCAAATTTCACCAGCATTTACAAAATCTATCACAGCAGACAACAGCCATAACAGTCCGTCAGAGAGGCTGTTACAGGAACTAATGTAACTAGGGATATCTGCAATCTCATTACTGGTGTTGAGTCATATTTGGCTTCTCTTTCCATCTAGGATGTCAACCACCCTGCTAACAACTGCCAGATGATGTTTCTGACTCCCTCCATTGCCACACAGCTGTGGCTGGAAATACTGGTACATTGGGAAATCACAGAGGCTACCACACTGCCATGGCCTCCAGAATTACCTCCATCTCAACTTCATTTTCACACCATCTAAAAGGTGCTGCCACTTGCTGACACCCTTGCTGGACAGTCAGCCACTTTGAGTGGCAGAAGCAAATGCATCAGAGATGCACAGGAAATGAAGCTGCTGTCCTTGTCTTGGTAACCCCAGGTCCAAGTCAAAGAATCACCATGGTGGTTATAAATCAAGCAGGAAGAGAGGATGATTTGGGGGGAGGGGTGGGGGGGAAAGGAAACAGATAAGAAACTGGAAAAGGAAGGATGCCATACAGCCAGGATTCTCTGGTGACCTTGAAAGCCTCTGGAACTTATGCACGAAAGATCTCTGAAGAACCCTTGACCCACGTCAAATCTGCAGGCCAAATGGATGCTTACACAGAAAAACAGCACCCTTCAGCTCTTCCTTCCACCATCATTTTCACCGATATCTTTAGTGGGGCTGTTCTATATTGGCCATCAGTGTTATTGAGTTCTGCAACAAACCATAATGAAGGTAAGTGGGGAACACGGACAGCAATAAATTCCGCCACCTAACATTTCCTAGGTGTGTTTGTTTCTCCTGCCCTTTTAGTTAGTTCCCAGTTATGACACTTCTTCTTCAAACTGAAACATTTTGGGCAAATCCATCTCTGGCTCAGTTTCCTATTCCAAAAATTCTCCTCCAAAAAAGCCACCACATAACGCAAAGTACTATCACTTTACATCAGAAACAAAATTTCTGCGTTGAGCCCTGTACAGCACAGATTTTAGAAATCCTTAGTATAAAGAGCTACCCCAGGCACAATACCATATGTTAAATAAACTCCAAAATTTTCACTGGGAAAAATGTTTGTGACTTTCTGCTTATATCACTGCTAAGATTATGTTCAAAAGTAGGCCACTCTACAAAATAGCATGTCAAATCTATAGACTTACATTAAAAAGGTGATCTCTAGGGATAGAAACCCTAGCTCCAAAGAAGTAAATGGAAGCACTCCACTGACTTAAATGGAGCCAGAATTTTACCCTAGATTACCAGCACTATGATCTGATCTTAGAAACAATTTATATATAAAACACAGTGCTTACAAATATAATCTTAGTGTGTTTATATACGTGCTCCAGGAGTGGGTGGTGTGCTTTAATTAGAGAGGTCAGCTCTCAGAGCCTAAATAAAGCACCCGGAACATCTCGTGTATGTGTCCCCATGGTTAAAAATGGTAGTGGGAATGCTTTAACTGAAGCTCATTGAGCAAGCTTTAGTTAAAGCGCCCCCGCCACCATGTTTAAGCATGGGAACGCCGATACATGAAATGCTGGAGTCTGCCGGAGCGCAGTAACTACCATGCTCCAGGAGACTCGATTATTCAAGTCTGCTCCAACGTGATGTAATTATAGTGCATCAGAGTAGCCTCACTGCTCAGGCTCCCTTAGACACCAATTTTATATTTATATATGTAACTTTCCTGCCGGTGGATCCACAGATGAAGACCTCTGATGCTATGTCCAGCTCCACTAATTTCACTGACAGTCTATGTAGACACAGGAGTATGCACCACTGTGGACCTGTTTGAGGATCTGATTCTAGGACCATGAACACTTTGAGCTGGGACAGTTTGTAGAGCAATAGGGCCAAGTCCACTGGTTCCTGACTTCACTGTAAGCACCTCCAAAATACAAATAAATTGGTTATAAGTTTAAAAAAATAGTTATTTGTGCTGTGATAGCAAAGATTTATATTTTCAAAGCCCAATAACAACAACTTTCCCAATTTTTCTGAAACAGAGGAAAAATTGTTCATTTTTAAGTTTAGAAATGTTAGCCTAGCTTCCAAGGACATAATAAAGGACTAAAAACATCAGTTTAGAATGGAACAGGTTCTGCTGTCTTTATTGTGAGTCCATAATTCATAGTTTCAATTGAAATAAGGAAGGCAGGAAAAAGAAAACATCCAAAAGATGTAATGCATATTTTGTGTTGAGAAAGTTTCCAGCAGGTTGCAACCCGTTTTTAATAGTATTATTTTTAAACACTCTCTCTACAGTCATAATGCAGATTTTAAAAAAGTCTGTTGCAAAATTTAGGCTTTTATGTTCTAAAATTCTGGATAAAAGTTTACACTATTTCAAAGTCAGGACTCTACCTATGCTACGCCCTTTGCAGGAAAGTGGCCATATTATACAATAAAGCAATATCATTTTCCTCCAATGTTCTAAAAACCAAAACACAAATTTAAAATATTGTAAAGCCCTTGGACTATTTCATTTCACACAGTCTGAAAAGTATTACAACACATCGTTCCACGTTAAATATTTGTAAAAGAAGTATTCCTAACGAAAAAATAATTAAATCCTCCAGCTAAAATATCAACACTTTATTTTTGAAAAAAGGATTCACAGTTCTTCCTCCAGAAAAAAGCAATGTGAATCATACAACTGTAATGAATTCCAGTAGTTCCTGAAATTCTATATCTCTTACAGATCCACATCATTATACACAAAAATCCTACAATGACATCTGTGCAGTCAGACTCCTGTGCACCTGTGCTGATCTCACTGCAGGCCTGCTGCTCTAAATCCTACTGTTCCTTGCTCATCGTTTAGTTAAGTGTTCACTACAGTATGCACAGTGCTTCCTTAGGATCCCACTTCTATATCCTATTTAAAAAAAAATCCTAATGCAAGGACCCTCCTTCTTAAAGTGACGTGTCATTTAAAAAAAAAAAATCATACCAGTACACTGTAAATAAAATTATAAAAATGATTACTTCCTTATTAGAAACCCCTTACATTATTAAAACTGAAAGAATTAAACCCAATTCACTTGCCACTGGATAAACTTTAACTTTTCTCATTTCTACTAACAGGAACACAAATAACTAAAAATCAAGGAGATCAGTTTCACTTTCAGTTCTGTAATGCTCAATCATTTCAAGTTGCAACCACTGCAAGGCGGTATTTATTTTAACAAAGCTGTTTCCACTCCAATGTTCTTGATAAAAAACTTACAAAATGTCATGCCAGAGCCTGTAAACTGCAAGAAGCTCCCCTGGATAGATCCCAAACATCAAGCAAAGCTACCTTTAAAAGGGCTCCATACTGGTGCTGGTTTGGCCACATGGATGCAGTTACAGGGCTGACACACAAGTCTTTGCTAGGGACAAAAGTGAAGCAGCCTTGACAAATGAGCAGTACTCTAGGTCTGACTGTAACAAATCCCACAAGTCAGTGTGTAGCTTTCCACAAAGACAGTTAAAAGATTCTACAAGACAACTCTGTGGACCCTCAATTCATCCTTACATTAACAAAAAAACCCCAGAGATGATGCAATCAGAAGATTTTGGGGCTCCCAAAAAGAGGTAGCTATAGGAGCTGAGGCATGACTAACCTAAAATGCTATTAAGATTTCTCCTTAAATTTTCAACCTGCCAATCCTGTTCACTGAAATCTATCACCCAATTAGAGGCTATAAAGTACAGACCTAGCTAAGAATGAAAATTGAGACTAGCAATGATAGTCAAAAGATCTCAGAAACCAAGGGGCTTTGTAGACACCCGAGTCAAGGTTAAAAAAAAACCCTAACTAAGCATAAACCTAGTAGTTATTTAACTGTCAGTGAAATAAACCTTAGTAACAGATTTGGGAAACAAACATATAACTAACGTAAACAGTCAAACTGAAGTCAGCGGGATTACTTATGGAAGGAAACATTACTAGAGGTAAGTGTCTGCAGGGATAGGCCCAACAGTACAAAAACACAAGATGTGCATAGATTTACTCAGAATGAAATGCTCAAAAATTATTAAACTTTAGCATTACATTACCGTACTTTTTTAAGCAAGCACCTTCACAAGCTTATGCTTCATGTCATTTATCTGCATTAATTCAACGTACTCATGCACCATGCTCTGTACTACAAAATCCTGTTCTAATCCTTCATCACAGACATGAATCCAACTGCCATTTTCATCAGGCAGAGAAATTAATAACAATAGCAGAAGACATTACGACACTTTTTCCTCCGTTTCTGGAGAAAGAAACCTGTCCTGGAAGTGATGCTATTAGCTGTTATAACTGGAGGCCAAAAGGATGTAAAATGCCTGAAATACATTCCTGAAGAGGCAAGCCACGCTCTGCCATTAACCTCTTTCACCTGACATTTATTCTACCTTCCACGAGCAAAAACATGATGCCTAACGAGCCGTCCCCTCGTCTGCTGGAAGTGCCAGCGGAAGATGAGCTGGGGGGGCACAAATTAAGAGTTACGTAAACTTGGCACTGCTCTGCTGGATGCCAGCCTTAGGGCTATTCGTTATGCCACTGGGCGAGGGCCTAGGCCCACCACAGAAAGTTATCAGCCTTTCTTAAGAAAGAGACCACCGAAGACATCACAGTTGATTTCTCTGGACAAATCATAGAAAACTGGAAAAGGAGCGAGGTCGCAAGCGGAGCGGAGTGCGCGGGGCAGAGCGCGCTGGACAGGGCCCCACGGCCGAGTGGACGCAGCCAGCGCACGCAGCCCAAAACGCGGAGCGGGGAGGACCCCCCTGCGGTCCCGGGGCTTCCTGGCCGGGCAGACAGGCAAGTTGGGCCAGGTCCAGGGGGAGGCTGCCAGGAGGTCCTGTGGCCTCGCACGGGGACGGGGACAGGGACAGGGGATGCCTTCCTTAGGAGGTGAAGCAGGTCCCACCTCAGTGACCAAGCTCCTTCCCCCGGCCGGGCTCCGGCCGCACCTCGGGCTGCTCCGCCCAGGGGGTCCGGCTGGGGCTGGGCCAGCACATCCCGAGGCCGCAGAGGCCCCTGCCCGGCC